AGCAATCTTAAGCCATATTAAAGTTAAGAAAAAATCAATTATACCTAGATGTTAACCAAATTACAAGCACTTATGAATGAATTCAAATGTTATAGAGTAGTGTTTCCCAAACGCCGGTCCGCAGACCGGTACTATACTTGAATAAATGTCAACCGGTCCTCGACTTATTTACGTTTGTTTTCAATATTTGATGACTAAAAGTCGCCCAAGTAAAGTAAAAAGTTTATTTTGTGTTTTTTGTTTTCGAAATAATTTGTTGTTTGTTTTTTGTAAATATCGTAATATTTTTCTTATGCAATTACCAGATATTTTATTTGGTATATCGATCCTCGAAACTGTTTTTTGGAATTTTTCCGGTCCGTGATTTGCCAAACGTCTGGGAACCACTGCTATAGAGAACAGTATATCGTCATATAGAACTTAAGAGGTTAATGAAGATCGGGATTAAAAAGTAAACGAAGAATTTAATTCTGGTAAAATATATTTTTGACTGAGACTGTGTTGTTGTTGTTGTTTCTAATTATAGTATAATATCTGTTGAAGCGGTTTTTTTTCGTATGTGATAAAGACTGGATAAATTATCATTACATTATCTAATCTAATCAAGCCACCTACATAGACCAGAACTAAAATTTAACTTAGGTAGTAATGTAGATTTTTTAACGTAAAGTTCTAATTAGAACTATACTATGACATAAAATCTTATAATGACTAGAATGTATTGATTAATCATTCGGATACCCTCGCCGTTATCGATATATTCGGTCGTAATGCGGGCCATGAGTGAGAGGTGTCCCAAGTGTGTAATAATTGTGTTGTAAACGTCTCTAGTTAAGCCTCGAACTGGTTAATGTAAAAGTGGTTCATACAGGGTCGAAACTCCGTCCGAAAGTTTTGCAACATGTGCCTGTTCCGGTTATCAACAACCAAGTTTGCGAAATGTGGCACAGTCTTCAGGGGATCCAGATCCGTATCCACGAAGAGATGATGTGTGCTGGCTATGAATTCGGGGGCATGGACGCTTGTCAGGTAGGGCACTCGATCAAGAATCGTCTTATTTTTAAAGATCGTAATAAATAAAGGCATACAATGCTATATTCAAGAGGTGCCCTGAAATACTTCTCGTTAGTTAGTTTGGCAGTAGCCATGCTGTATTTCTGATATATTCAACAGCAAACAACCCGTCAGTAATTGTGTAAGAGAAAATGCTAAGCTGTCTTTTCACTGTCATGGTTATTGAATATTATCAGGTATTATCAGTATTTGATAATCTGATTCACTGTCATGGATATTGAATATTATCAGGTATTATCAGTACTTTTCACTGTCATGGATATTGAATATTATCAGGTATTATCAGTACTTGCTAATCTGATTCACTGTCATGGATATTGAATATTATCAGGCATTATCAGTACTTGATAATCTGATTTGACACAAACTCTTTATCATTATGACTAATGTTTTCTGAAAATCGGGGCCTTATTTCTATGTACGCCCAGGCTTGGAACTTCCATTAACTGTAACCCCAAAACCTTTAAACCTTGATTATAATTTTTAAGGTCAGTTTGTTTGTCTCCAATCCTTCAGTTGGTTTAGTTGCACACGTATAGTGATGTCTTAAGGTGTAGCCAGTTCACGTACGATTTAGTACGTTTCCCTTAACTGTACTTTTAAGTAAGGATTTCAAGTCGAAAAACCATCTCAGAACGTCATTAGATGTAAGTCTGTTGGCATATCATCCCAGAGCCCCATAACAATTAATTTTGTAGATATATAATCCCACAGCACCATAACAAGTAATTTTGTAGATATATAATCCCAGAGCACCATAACAATTAATTTTGTAGATATATAATCCCAGAGCACCATAACAAGTGAGTATTTTCTTATGTAATTCAAGAGCCCCCGTATCAAGAACTTTGTTGATATATCATGGAACATCTCCTTATTAACAAGTAACTATCTTAATATATCATGAAAGAACCTCTTAATAACAAGTAAGTTTGTGGATATATTATGGAAAAAACCCCTTATTAACGAGTAAGTCTGTTAATATATCAGGGAAGAACTCCTTATTAACAAGTAAGTTTGTTGGATATATCATGGAAGTACCTCTTATTAACAAGTAAGTTTGTTGATATATCATGGAAGTACCCCTTATTAACAAGTAATTCTTAATATATCATGGAAGAACTCCTTATTAACAAGTAAGTCTGTTGATATATCATGGAAAAAACCCTTATTAACAAGTAAGTCTGTTCATGTATCATTAATTATTATGGACTCATACTCAAACAAAAACAAGATTGAATTGTCTTTTTTAGAAAAATGTAATTCATGTCTCAATAATAGTTCAAAAAGGTCAGTGTTTTTTTTTTGTTGTTGTTGTTGTTGTTCTTTGGGTTTTTTATTTAAATAGCATCTAAATACTTTATCCAAGTATTCTTCATTGAAGCTCCGAAAGAATTTTTGATCTTTTTGTAAACAGTTCCAATTATTCGAAATCTACAATCAAGATTTTAGGTATAATAAGATTGTTTTTGATCACAATAAGAATTTTTTTGGATACAATAAGATTGTTTCTGCCTTTAACTTTTTGGTTTCCTAAAGATATATATAGTTGAGCTCAAGCAGTCCCATTTTTTAACATTTTCCATCTGGACTTCTTTACCTAGACTCAATACCATCAAATTCATAACGCATCTAATATATGACGTCATTTTAGGTATAAAAGATAATACTGTTTGTATTTATATTTTATATTTATGACAAAGCTACTAAGGCTATCTACCGCAGTCCCTAGTTTTGAACTACTGATCAGACGGAAGGCAGCCAGTCAGCAACAATCCAGGCTAATAGATTGACTGTCACTCTTATAACTGTCATTCTTATGATCTTACAAGGATTGTAATCAAACTCCGAGATCCAGAGCTGTAACGCAAGACCGTGTCCCCAAAAGCTAACACACAGAATTAAACCAAGGGATTAGCACTATGAGTTGTATTTCACGTACTAAGAAACTCCTAAACATATACTTAGTAAAAGTGCTTATTCTAATCGAATTGGACTGGTTTAGTGTCTTATAAGCTATTCTTCAGCATCCAGAAAAGTTATACATTAGAAACTAAGTAAAAGTTGTCATAAGGAAACTCAATAAAATATTAAAATTTAAAAACAGAAAGCAGAGAAGTTTTAAAACTTAAACCTCCAAATAGATAATTTTCATAATAATGTTTCTTAGTATAGTTATTTTAAATTATAAACATGCAAATGTATAAAAATAGAAATATAATGAAACACACAATACCTTTTAAAGTTTCAGACATTCTTCCAATTTTATATCTTAGGGAATACGAAAGAAAGCCAAATTAGTATTTGACGTCTGTATGTACTTGCACTTAGCGACCTCTATTTTTCAAGAAGAACATTAAGAAAGTTCTAAAACTTTCTATAAAAAGACAAATTTAAAAATTGTTTACTACTATTATTGTTTTTATAAGCTCATACATAAAGCGCTCTAAAATATTCTTTTAAAAACCTAAAACTAGTCATTAAACTATTATCAGGCAGGTGGCAGCACTGTTTAAATAGGAATGGCTCGGGTTGTTCATCGAAATTGTATTTTAAATATCTCCTCAATAGGTCATCAGAACTTTACAATACTATACAATTTTTCCTTTTATGTCAATATCTATGTAATGATTGAGTCACAAGTTCTGGGAGTGTCTGTAAATATCATAACAAAAGTTTGAATTTCTTGCTCTTCTTTCTTCTGCTTCAATCCATTTCACTGAGGTGACATAGTTTCAAACGGAGTATCCGTTTTTATAAGAATTATCAATAACTAATACTAATTTTTAAAACATCATAATTCTAGTGCAAATGATGTCATCATTATCTCTTGAAGTTAGCTTTCTTACAGAAATTTGGTGTTCCTTTAAAATGCTTACGTACAGGCTGAAACCGGAATTACCAGCCAATAATAGATAAACGATGAATATTACAGTTGGAACCTCATTGTATTTAGAACTTGGTTATAAATACAACCTTCCTATGTCTACTGAAACACTGCATTAAACAACAACAAGCAAACAAGTAAAGAAAAAAACCTTTCAAAAAAGGAAGTAAATCTATGGATGGCTAATATCAATCCTTCAAAAAAAAAACAATACAAACAAGATAGTAGGGATGGCATTTGCATCATCCCTACATAATAGCAGAGGCAAGACTTAACATATAGCGATATATATAACTATTCCATCGCAAATGGGTTTAATTTATCCTATTTTTGTCTGTTAACATTCTACTACACTGTGTGCCTGTGTTATTGTCTAAGAATGATGAAAATGTCATCCCTACTATCTCGTTTGTACTGCTTTTGAAGGATTTATATTAGCCATTCCTGCATTTGCTTTCTTTTTTTAAAAAAATTCTGTACTTGTGAGAATTAGGGCTGACTGGGAGATCGGGCACAAATCAGGATTTTTAACATTTAAATTAGTGTAAGTTTATCGTTTAACATTTCACCGATATAAAGCTCATTATATCCAGTACATAGTGTAAGTTCATTGTTAAACATTTCACCGATATAAAGCTCATTATATCCAGTACATAGTGTAAGTTCATTGTTAAACATTTCACCGATATAAAGCTCATTATATCCAGTACAAGATAAGAATATATAACATCTCTTGCAGTACATGACAATTGGAAACTTACATGAAATCAAAATTCCAAGAGATTCTACAACCCGATTATCTAGTTGCATATAAACTGCCCCCAGTGGCAAAGCGGTATGTC